AAACCAGCAATGCTTGGGATAGTAGTCAGGCATTTCTTTTTTGGCTTTGGTTGAAGAATAATTCCAGGTGAGTTCCTGGCCTGCCAATGTTGAAAGGCTGCCTTTCGAGTACACTCTGACATGGTGGTAATATCTCCCTGTGCCTTGATTTATGCTGTTCACAAACGAGCATTTCAAGGTTCCATCGGAAGCCTTGTGATTTGCAAGGCTAATGGGGCCTCCAATGTAACAATCATTCAAGTATGGAGATCTAAGGTAGCGATGGCTAGTAGGACATTCATTCAAATTTGGGACTCTGACAATATATCCCAAGTCAGCGAATCTAGTCGAAGATATTGTCCTGCAAACAGTATACTCCTATCAATTTAAAAATTACAACAAACTAAACAGCACACTAATTATATTGTCACACTAGTTGATTTTGTGATAAGTTTCAAGAATTTACTTACAGAGAGGCTGCAGACGTGTCATTTAGTGCATAAAGGCCGTACCCATAAGGTGGTGTCTCACGGGCTTCCATGCTCAACCCAGCTTTAATGTACATTCTAAGTACATCAGACTTAAGAGCTTTAAATTCGTCATCCGGCATTTTAGAACCCCAGTTAGATGGTTCTGCAGAACACTTTCTTAAAGGCATAAGAAGCAGCGTGTGTTGCCACACAGACTCAGATTTCCATAATTCATTTAATTGTTGGGACGACATCACATAGCATGACCTCCCCACTTCTTTCTGTGTGGAGCATATACACAAACAAATGTTTAAGGTTTGAAATAACTTTCAAATAGAAGATATATCTCACTGTATACACTTTCCAAAGAAAAAGGAAATTCGGTACTTACTAAGTCGCCGTCGCAAGATTGAAGGGCACGTCGGCCACGCCTAGTTGAACTAGCCGCATCCATTTCGATACAGTAGAGAAAAAGAAATGCTTTCTATTTAAATTAAATACTGTGGCTTTTCGTACACGGCTCACCACACGGCTAAAGGGTGGTCTATAAACCGGTACGAGCGGTACGATCCGTCCAATATGGCTGTATTCTTCAAGCAGCCTCGCGCAAGGAAAATAGTCTCCCCTCCCCTTCGTGAGGTGCAAATAGTTGTTGCTAGATAAAATGAGTCAACAAACCGATTGCGGTGACAAATCTAAACGACAATGATGGACGCTTAATAGCACG